GATCGATCGGGGGAAACAAACAGCAAAGAAAGTAAACAAACAGCTATCGTGGGTCCCATATTAGATGCAATGGACACGTAGGTAGACTTAACGGGTGCGACACGATTGGAACTTCCACATGGGATCCATCCGCGGCGTTATGAGCCGTCCGATGCGGTTTTGCCGCTGGTTTTTAGGTCCTTGAGATTCCCGTTTGGATAAGACGAAGGAACGAGATCGGAGATGGCAGGTTGTACGACCAACGATCCGATTCGAAATTTGAGATGGATCTACATAGCATATCCTCCACTCGTACTATCGGGTCGAATCTAAATCCAAGATCCACTTCCGATGACAGGGATGAAACTGACTTGAATTCCTAAGAACGAGAGAGATGGATTTGGATGTCAGATGATCCTAACCCGAACCCGAAAGCACGCCGTCCCTCGGTGTCTGGGGAGCAGCCATGGGGGTGCAATGACAGGTTATGTTGCCTGCGACGGGATCATACAAAGAAGAGTGTCGGACATTAATTTTCTTCCGAGTACAAATTTGACGGGCGGTGGCTGACAAATCAATCACCTTTTGATGGATTGTGATGAGCGAAGACCATCATCCGTTCAGGAATCTCCCTGTCCAAAAAGGCAAAAACAAGAAAAAAATGATAGATTTTTATTTTTCTGTTTGATTTCTTGTCAACTTTTGCAGTAATGTTGAATCTCCACTTGTTAGTGGAGATCTATCGGTTTGATTAATCACATTAAATTGGCTGTGGATGATACGCAAAGCATTTCTCCGCCATTAGAAGAACATTCTCTCTCTCTCTATCTCTCTCTCTCTCTCTTTCTCTCTCAGAGAGAGAGAGACACACACACACACACATCAAGGAACGGAACAAGTAATGTTTTTGTTAAGAGATTAATGTCTGCCATGGCCAAGGTTGGCTTCCACTTAATCTGCCTGCTTGCCCAGCAAACCGGGGACAAGCTGCGGGAAAAGAACAGGAATGCTGGATTGAGTCGCCACCTTTTTGTCACCATGAGCTTGAGAGCCCCACCGAGTTCCTTCTCGTGCCGCTCCTCCTGCTCCCCATCCGCATGCTTCCCCAGGTGAGCTTTCCATGTCCATGGCATCATGGAGCCAATGATTTAGTGCTGATTGATTCAACTCCAGGATTTGTTTCTTTGGGAGTACTTCAAGGCCTGCAACATCAACCACACCCACAGTTTGTGGAGACAGCAGCCCTCGAGAGAGTGTCATGAGAAGGCCAAAAATAATAATAATAATAGTATTGATCAGGGAAGGAAGGCTGTCTTTTTGTAGACCATCGATGTATATAACTAAAAGGACACCACCATCCCTCCTCCTCACAGCTCCTATCAATGCCTCCACAGAGTTCCAACATCACTTCTTCAAGTCTCTTCTGTCTTCCCTCTTGTTTCTGAAGCTAGCTCTTAGATAGACTTCTCAGGATGAGGTCTTCTTCCACAGTGGCCTTCGTCCTCTTGCTACTACTGCTGCTATCCACAGCTCACGGTAAAGCTAACGCTGAGTTTGAGTTTCATCTGAGGTGAATGTGTTCTTATCCACCAGAACTAACCATCTTCTTTACTTAGGGATCCACTCGGAGAGGCAAAACCACAGAGGCTCTAACCACAAACTCCCTGTAAGTGTAGTGATATCACTCTATGATGACTCTCCTTGCTACTGTTATTCCATGTTCTAAAGGTTTTACTTGTGTTTGATGATAGGAAAAGAAGGTTTCCATGACAAGAAGAGGAACCGGTGCTGCACTGATTCCGTGCAGAGAAAATGGGCATTGCTCTGATACAGATAATGTAGGAGGAGCCGATCAAAGGATACCTAGAATTCATGAAGATTACTATGGGCCTGGAGATCACAAGTCTAAGCATCATTAGATTTTTCCTCCACGTTTTCCCCCTTTTTTTTCTTTTCCTTTTTCTTTTTTTGGAGGGGTAGCTGCTGAGGACTAACTACAAAAGAGATTTTTTGTATTACTTTTGACACATTTTAAGTTAAATCTAGATCTGCTCAACTTCTCTCAGATGAAAGCTTCTATTTTTTTTTCTCTCTCTTATCTTGTAAAGATCCATGATAAGCCAAACAGCAGATGAAAATTTCTTGGAGATATTCTCACATACATAATCAACATAATAATATGCAGCTTTGATCACAAAACAACAGCTAGAAACCTTCTCTTCCTCGATGATGCCTGTCACAGAAGGCACAAGACAAGCTTTAACCGAGTGGGACATGGAGATCAAGTAGACATAGATGGAACTGTGGAAAGTCTCCGGCAAAAGAGCAACATTAGTCAAAGATAATTACTCAGAGAAAGCAGGACTGAGACTCTCTCTCCATCGACTGCACACATTCCACATGCACAGCATGAACAAGTTTAAGACAGGGTTGCAGGAAATGCTCCAGGTTTCTAGCTTCGCACAATGCAGCTTGACTTTGGAAGAAGTGTACCTTGAAGTGGAGTAGGTGTACTGTGGCCTTGAATCTATTAAGAGGTGGGCATCACCATGCATGGACTATTTTTTTATCTCTTTCACCATGCATGGACTGTAAAACAGGAAGAGCAGACCATTTGCTGTGGCTTTGACTACTTTTATGTGATAGGATGGATGTTAGTTCAAACTCAATTGATTAACATAGTGATCTTAGAGATGGATGTTGGGAGGCTTCTTGGCAAACTGTCTAAATGAGATGAATACCGGTCAAGCTATGATCATGACAAAGCAAAAATAATAGGAATTATACTACATGTGTACACAGACAGTTGATTTGTTCATAAATAATGTCAACATTAGATTTTTTATATTATAAAATAAAAAGAAACAGAGGCATGAATTCTCCATTTCATGTTGCATAATCACCAAAAATTCTGCATGACCCAAGGAATTACTTGTCAATGGAGAATATTGTCTAGAGATTTATAAGGTCATTCTTCTTACTGTCAGTGTTTTCCTTCCTGTTAGAGGACAATGGGGACTTCACAATATCTATCTGAAAAGTGTTCTTGTGCTGTGCTTCAAATCCAAGGAAACAGGTGATTGCAGCATCAGCACTCGCAATGTGCAGACCTATTTCCTAGATTTTTCATTTTTCATATTCATATTTTTTTTATTATATCCATTGATTAGGATATTTCTTTTCCTTCCTTTTTTTTTTTCATATAACACATGGATATCTTTAACATATTATATGTTCCACAAATGTTATAAATAGAATTATAATTTCATATTGAATTATACATACTTAGAATTCTTAGGAATGTACTAAATATACTCTACAAAATGTACTGAAAAGATTCCTGCAATGCCATCCACAAGGCTTAATAGAATGCTCAGTATTACTTTTTCTTCAAGTGATTTGAAATGGGAAATAGCTTTTCAGATCACTTTCTGGCTCTTGGCTAATATTTGACTTTGTCCTGTGTGCAGATGGTAGTGTTGGTCATTTAAAGAGGCATTTGTGATCTTGTTCTTGATCTTAAAAAAATCTACCATTGAGAAATAAGACTTGAAAATGATGCAATGTCATAGAGAACATCAACAATATGAGTAGTAGATCAACTAACATCCAAGTGTTCCTGACCTCAATCCAGACCACCCACAAAAAGATGTCCAACTATCAACACAGAAAAGAAAGAAAGAATATAATCAAACAACCAACAACAAGAAGTTTGCTCCATCATCTGCAAAGAACCACCTGAGTCTGGTGGAAGATATCTATCATGTCATCAAAAATTGCAATTATAATTGTTGATAATGAAACAGGTTATATATCCTTAAAAACTTTATACAGCTTCTGTAAAAGGAAAATGCCTACAAAGATTTATTATGGATGTAGTTTTATGAGTGATAAGATCATGAACAAGAAACAAGTTGCTGCTTCACAAATTCAAAAACAAGTTGCTCCCAAGTGATAAGATTACTTAGGTTGTTTGACCGAATATAATATCAGAGATGAGTAGGGCTGAGAGTCCTTCCTGCCTTCCATCTGAAGATAATAAACTAGAAGAGATACTGATTTCATGAGCTCAGATGTCAGGACATGCTGTTCTCTCAACATTTAAGTGAAATGATGAACAACAATAGCTCACAAGAGTTACTGTTATTGGCTGATTTCAGTCAAAGTCAAAGTGGGCCTTCCCTTTACTGAAGCTGATACCTTTGTCTCTAATCTTCATCATGGAAGGGTGACAAACATCTCCAGGCTTTGATAACAGGAGTTAATGTATGAAGTACATAAAAACTGGGGAGATGATGCGCACAAGTACTCCTCCCCAAGCTTTCCAGCTGTGTTGAATCATATGCTCACAAGGGTCAGGACAAGTCAGTCCAATTTTTTACTCACTGTAAGAGTTCTTCGAGGAGAAGAAATATGGTGTATGTCACCATGATCTCGAGATTACTGACCATGCCTTGGTTATTAGTGTCCATTAGCTTAAACTAATGAGACTGCTTAATGAGATTCCACATCTTTCCCCCTGTTAGTATATACAAAAGTAGACAGACAAAACGCAGCATTGTCTGTTTCATGCAGACTTGTTCTAATGGGTTCTCATGATGCATGAGCTGGTTTCCGAACACATGAGCTTCCTTTGGAGAAAGATCCGAGGAGAAGCAGAGGCTTCATGACATGATCTTTCCTTGGCTAATTTGATTATGCTTTCATGACATGATCTTGTTTTGAAGATGAATTGTCGAAGTGATTTAACCTGATCAAGATGGCATACGTATATATATTGTTCATTGACCTAATACTTCAAACAGTCAAAAGATGTTGCAACCGTTGTGACATAAATCCTCATGAAATTGGATGTGTTTTTCTGTGATTTTAGATCTTAACTTGAGATTTTTACTATGATAATATTTGGTGTCATGTTGATGAAGTAGAAGAATTGACTTCATATAGGTCACCGGATAATGTACATAGAGAGCTTGAAACTTCATGAGAGAAAAAAGAACTCAATTTCTTAGACAAACTGGGAAGAAGAAGAAGAAGAAGAAAGGAACGGGCCAAATTGTTGGCTCTTAGCATAAAGGAGACCGGTGCGGGATGCTCTTCCTTCTGCTCATGTTTGCGGTCATGTACTCCTCATCGGTGACACTTGTTGCTGATCTTGCACAGATGTAGCGCCGCCCATTTCTGCTGGTGTGGATGATCTTGGCGCAGGGTAAGCTCAAATTCTCAGAATCCGAGGATGCCATGGGCTCGTCGCCTTCCACAATGGTTGAGTGCGTGGTCTCATTGGCCTCATCGTCGTCGTGAGGGATGTGGAAGTCTGGGCTCAGTTGCAGAGTCTTACATGGTCTCAAGTATGGGGAGAGATCCTTCTTCTGCCTCAACACATACTCCACCTATCCACAAGCGCATGCTCGTGTTATTTGAATTCCACTCTTTGCTGAGACAATGAGCAAGGTTACGATGAACAGTGGATTACCTTACAGCCCAGAGAACAGTGAATGTAGGGTTCCTGGAGGCACCTATCACAGGAAGTGCAAACGTTTCCCGATCCCTTAAACTGCCGATTCTGAGGCCTCTTCTTCAGGAACACCACCTTGGAGCTGTTGATTGTATACGACTGCACAACCATTCATCGAGACGACGTGAATTCGAAGAAACAATTGTAGCGGCACTGTTCAGCGATTTCAATGCCACCACCTACCTGAACATTGGAGCAGTCGATGAGCTTCTCGAGGTCTTCTAGTCTCACAACATCATGGTAAACGTAGCGCCGGACCTGCACCAGCCTGTGAAAACGGTGCGACGATACACAATGCGGGCATATGCTGGTGCAGCAATCGAGGCAGCAAATGTTCTTCTCGTTCTTCTTCGCGTGCTCGTGATGAGAACAAGGCACGAAGAACTTTTCCGAATCGAGAGCCTGCAACCAAGCCGGCTTTCCGATCACCTGCCAACGTAGGAGAGCATTCAAACCAGACCAAGCACCGCAGCATTAACACAAGCCTCTCGGTCACATCCTAAGGCTACAACAAGATGAACTTACCATGGCTACAGCAAGAGGAGCTTGGAGAGACAGCCGCGGCAGCGGAGAGTACTTATGAAGGGTCACAGAAGAGGAAGAGGTATATATCTTTGCATCATGGACTGCTGCACTACATCTTGTCGAAGCAGTGGGGATTGGCATAGAGGAATAAACAAAGCCGGAAAGAGGTGAGGGGAACGTGGGCGCTGTTTTTTGTGCTCGCAATCCATCCTCCCTTCTCCCTTTTTGAGTCCAACCTCGCCTTGGCTTGAGAGCTCCACCATCTTAAACTAATGCCGGAGCGCAAACGCGCCCGAGGAGCTTTGATTCCTCCTCTGTAGCCTTATGTGAAGGGCGTCGCATGTCTTTGCTCCTGCCATACGAGCCTAACAGCTGACGACCACATCATCGCCTTGGTCTTCTACGAGTATATGCAACCGTTCCATAGCTGTTAGGATTACATCGATACGAGAGGGAGATTAATGTCGAGTCCTCCATTGGAACTCGAAGTCATTTATACAAGGAGATGATGATCCAAGGATTTCCCTGGGCTCTCTTCGCGAGCAGATCCACTGCTGGACCGAGTGAGGTATTTAAATCCTACAGAAAAATCGTATCTTGAGGTCTTTCGGAGGATTCAAAAGCTTCAAAAAGAGCGTCAAAGGTAGCTAATGCAGACAGTGCAATATGGTGGGGGAGGAGTGGCTTTCCACGGCAAGCATCTAAAGCCCCTTTCGAGGTATTCTCAGGGAGAGAAGTGGGATTTAATATGGGTGGTCAAAACATCAATGTTGAGTTTGCAGAACCGACACCGCAACATCATGATCTTGCACTTTCAGTACATCAATCTGACAGATGCATGTTGTGAACTCAGCCACCCAAGAGTTCGTAGGTTTCTTTCTACATCAATCTGCGGATCTACAAGTTGCAAGAGCTCGATCTCAGGATTGTAGCTCGAGCACATGCATGGGTGTAATAAATGGCAGATAGGAAAGCAAGTGGCTCTAACGAGGAAGGAAAAGGAAAGAGGAAGTAGAAGAAGATGTCGATGGCTTTGTGATTCGGGACACCGCTTTGTCGGTCTTGACCAGCATCTCAGACTGACTCGTTTGCTTTTCTTATCCCCTAGCATGGCAGCTTTCATGGTGGAAAGCCCACAGAATCCCGAGCCCTACCATGTGCAGCTTGCATGCACCCGTGTGCATCGAGATCCTTCCTCTCGCAAGAACACAGACACACGCACCAGTCCGCAGCTCTCACGTGACAGTGCTGATTTGGTGTTCGTGTGCGCATGATGAGCTCTCCATCGAAAGCTTCAGTCTTTGTGTATGATCCAGATGGATCATACATACGACTGTGTCTTGTATCAGTCAGGTCGAATCAATCCATTACTCCGACCTTGTTATCGAGTGGAAGCGGAACTTCTCTTTTCTTCCAGAAATCATTGGTCCAAGAACATCGTAACAAGCATGAGTCGATATCCAAGTGATCTTTTCTCCAGATTTTTGCTGACCATCAAATGGTTTCCAACGACACCTACAGTGACACTCTTCTGAGAGACCACCGTCGAATGGTCGTCACCATTTCTCTGTATTCAGCCATTACTGGACTTCGAAGCATACTGACTTCAGAAGCTATTTCTTCTCGTTGGCCCATTTGTTTTCTTAACCTGGGAGATGGGTTAGTAGATGCGGTAAGTGTCATGTCAGCCTAATCCAGCTTGGCCATCGATGGGCAGTAGCTTCTCTTCGTAGTCTGGAAAACTGCATGTATGCAACTGGCCATGTTCTGGTGATCTGAAAGTTGAATCTTCTCTGGTTCTGTAGGAGAACTGGTGAGTTTAATTTGGATTCTTGGGCGATATCGTTGAAGAAACCTATCCTATTCGTTCCATCACTCATTTGATTCTGTTTCTGTGAGATTATCCTTTGACACTTGATGTTCTTCCTTCACCATATTTATTACTCTCTTCATGTTTGTTTCTGAGATGGAAGAGTGGGTAAGCAGCTCACTGACTCCATCAACATGATGTGTGGTTGGCGAGGATAAAGATGAATTGAAATCCATCCTTTTGGACAAAGAATTGTTTAATATACAATATACATCACTACATACTGAAAACGTTTTAAGACTGATGACATGACTGAAGTTAAAGATAATTTAGGCAATGAGGAAAATGATAGTGTTGTTTTGTTATTCTATTCAATTAAGTGTTCTTTCTTTGACACGTTACCGGATAATTAAGGCGAATAAAGAGCTCTCTCTAACGCTGCTGCAGAAGGCGAATAATCAGAATAATTAGCGATTCCCAATTGAAACATTCGCACACAAACATAATTAACAGCTTAATGACGTTTTAACCACACCTCTCTTCCGTCTATAGGCATCAACGGCAGCAAGCAGAGTATCTACAAATGGACGGAGGAGATCCATTCGGGGTTCATCATGTGTGTAAACAAAAAGAAATTAAAATATTTATTTACCCATTAATATTCCCCGGCAATTTCCATCTTGTTGGGAGGAGGTGAAGCCTCGCTGGGGAACGGAACGAAGCGCTAAGATCTACCGGGAATCTGTTTCGAGATTGGAGATCGGCGATCATCGGGGATCGTCGTCGCCGGCCTTGGACATGACGGAGAAGCGGCTGGGTCGGGGCTCGAAGGCGGCGTGGCGCCGCTGCTGGTGGGAGGAGGGACGGTTGAGGGCGGCGAGAGACCGCCGCACCCACTCGCCCTCCACCGCACCAGCGAGTTCGTCATCGCCGACGGCCGTGCGTTCAGCCGGATACACAGCGACGAGGACGACGACGCGACGGCGGTGGCCCGCCCGCCGATTCCCTTGTGGAGTCTGCAACGGAACGAACCCGGGTGGGTCGTCGGGGAGCACATGCACATCCTTCTCCGGCCGCCGCCATCGCTGGAGCCGACGACCGGCCGCTTCGCCGGCTTTTTCTGACTATGGTTACCGTGGAAAGAGGCGACGGCGAATCGGACCGACCGCGGTGACGGGGAAGGCCCGGCGAAGATGACGCGGATCAGGGAAGCGGAGCGGTGGAGCAAAGCGCTCGAACAGGGTGAGGATGAGGCGAAGGCGGAGGCGGAGGAGGAAGCGAAGGCGGAAGCGGAGCTGCAGCGCAGAGCACCGGACGGCGAGATCGATCGCCGGAGTGATGAGGAGTGGGTGTGGTCACGGCCCCCGCCGTACCTCCCTCTATAACTCGTCGCCGCCATCAACGGTTGAGACGGAGAATTCTGGAAACAACTGCTATCTCGGCCAAACCTAAGGCTGCTTCCGTCCGCCATACACGAGCACAAGAGCCGGTGGCAAAGATGGTAAATAAGACTAACGCTTTGTGCTTTTATCGAGAAATATCTTGATCGGACCGGTTTTGAGTTCATAAACCGGCCCGCGTTTGAGTAAACCTATGGAGGATTAGGCAAGCATGGGCCGAGAAGCGGTGGGCGAGCGGTGTGACGTGTTAGCGTCGCGGTTTGGATGGTATCTATTAGCGGCCACGTGTCCTCGGATCGGTATGGGCAAATAAATTTTTTTTCGTTTTTACAAATATTTTAATTTTGGTATCCACAGAGTAGAGTGGCTTTGACAAATTTGCTTCACAGGAAATCAATCAGTGGCATGCTTTAATTTTTGTGCCCCCTGCATCCGAAAAATGGAAATTAATCGGTGAGTTTCCTTGGTATGCATTTATCATTGTGTATTCTGCTTCAATACATTTTTTCGTGAGCTATTTAGGAATGCATGATGATCACAATCCTTTTGACATCATTTTCCACAGACTGTCAGTGTAATTTATGTGCATGATGGAGATTATAAATTGGAGTTGTTTCTGTAGAAAAAGGCTTTATATAGCTTGCAGTCAAAAATCTTACTGAAACTCTATTCTGTATTCTTAAACCTAAAAATAGCCAGTAGCCTGTCTGAAGAAATGAAGTGAAATCTTAGAATACCATCACATTTGCTAATCTAATCTTAAGCACAAACAATGGAATGCCTTTTTCTTACTTCATATGTTCTTGCATATGTTTCCATCCACAGCTACCAATGACAACTCTGTCCACATAAGATATGTTTCTTATATCTTGTGTCTTAAATATGGCAATAAACATGGACAGCCCATTGGATTTTCATAGATGCAAACAGAGAGGAGAGAGATCCAATGACCTCCTTGTCTATAAGATATGGGAGATGAATGGCCAAAAGCCAGAAGAATATAGAATATATAGTTGCTGGATCATGGAAGGTTTATTGGTTTGAGAGTGGATACAGAATTTACAGTAGCAGACAAAAACCATTAATATTGAACATCAATCACATGGCTTGTACTCTGCAGAGCAGGCACAATATTGTATCTGGTGGTGTAGTATCAGAGGTTGGGAGAACAAAGGACTTTTGCATCTGCATTCATTATATGAATCAAAGTTTTGTCGAGGGTCGCTCGATCAGATGATATCTGTGTCGAAGAAGACTCAGTAAGTTTTTTTTTTGTACCTTTCCAATGAATTACTATGAACCGATTAATTATGAATGATCGAGTTGAATGCAGAATATGTTCGCCCTGAGAACAGATTGATATTGGTGTCTTACTTCAGTGCTTAACATCTAGTAGTTCTCATCATGACCAGCTGTGGAAAGAAATATACTCTTCTCCTCCACCAGGAATGGTGGATCGAACTCACAAGCCTCGCAAGATCATGAAGTCTCCTGTTTTGGTTACAGCATGAGAAAAGTCACATGCAGCATACCAGTTCTTATGTGGGCTTCAAGTTCTGAAACATGGCGTCCCACCTCATGTCTCCAACTGCAGTCTCCCAGTACCCATCATCGTCAGCAGCAGCTGCAGCGTTGCGTTGGTCATGGTGACTACGATACATCGGGCTAGCGCTGTGGGATGGAGAAGGCACACGAGCGATGCTCATGCCACGGTCGGTGATCATCAGCCTACCCTGCCTCAAAAGCGCCAGCTTCGTCTTCCTCCTCAACATGGCCCCTCCCCAGCGGTCGCCGTATGGAGTCGTCGGGACGACCAAGATCGCCGGACTCTTGGCACGCGACAGCGTGCGGAGGTACCTGGCGAGACAATTCTTGGACTGCCTGAGCGCTGCTACGAGCTTGGCGACAGGAAGTGGAGGCACCCTCCTGTCCTTGTTGGTGAGTTTGAGGATCTCCAACCTGTGCTTGGCTACGGCGATGCCCATGCTCTGGAGGAAGGAATGGTCGAAGTATGCTATGTCCTCCTCCTCGAGCTCGTTGTTCGTCAACAGGAGCCCATACTCGTAAACAAGGTACGGCTCAAGGCTGGAGTTGGACAACCAGGAGTACCAGTCCATGATTCTATGCTCCGGCTTAGACTGGTCTGCTTGCCACTGGCTTTATAGGGAGGAAGATGAAGGGTGGAGGGCTCACTCCATTTGGCTTCTTTCCGATTTCACATGTTATGGAAGCAGAGGATGCATGTCACAAGGAGTAGGTGGCAGAATGACCCATCAATGAAGGCATGGGAATTGGAATCTCTTCATGTGGCTTTCTTTGGCATGAAGAATAGCAGCAACGCCAGAGAAAACTGCCAACATCGAGGATTAGATACTGTGTTCAGATCTGCAATTGGGCTATCATAACAGTGGTCATCTATCATCTCACAGATGATGGATTGGGATGCTGATCAACAGCTAGTAACTCTAGTGATGTCCAGTTGCCATGGTGATGAGATTGTCAATCCCGGTGCTGCAGTGGATCACGTATGGCAGGAAGATGTGTGGAAGGAAAAGTTACTTGACCTTTCTCTACCATGTGCAAGCTGCAAAGAGGCCGGTTTCTTTTCTCTTCTGGTGTGGACATTTACCAGACTCTTGCCACCCACACACTGAAAGCGATGCGAGTGCGGAGGAGAACACTCGAAAGGTGGTGGGCGTATGAAGTTGAATGGTGCCAAAAGCGGAGTGCGGACTGGACTGAGATTGAAGCTGCAATCACGGCATGGAAAAAGGAGACGTTGTGGGTCTTCTCGCCATATGGAATTCAGAGTGTGGAGTTGATGAAAGGGACAAAGGCAGAGGCAGAGGCAGACACCAAACACTCATGTCGGATGCTTCTCATAGCCATGGTTTCTTCCTGCCCTCCCGTGAATCCATGACAGGTTTGGATGGGCATGCCATGTGGAGGAACAGTCAAAGCTACATGTTGCCTTTTTTTCTGAATGAAATCATCTTCTTTGGCTCTCTCAAATCAGCAGTGTTGTGTGGCGGCTACAGCAATGAAGAACTGAACCAATTTCTGAACCGGTCGTAGATGGTGTGATTGATCTTGCGTTGGTAACGATAATTACTGATGCATGGGATATGATCGTGTGAAGCTTTCATCACTGTTTCTGGTAATCTAAGCCGCATGGCTTTCATGACAATGATTGCCACTCGACCTGAACAGTAAGTATTATGCCTGCACTTTGCCTTGCCACCTTCATTCTTCTGAAAGAGCTTCTTGTTTCTGGCTACAAGCAACACTAATCGTTTCCTAGTTTGCCATGTGGAAGAAGATCCTGATGATTGACAGCCTCGGAGAAAAGAATTTCAACACAACCTTTTTTTTCACTTGCAGAAACATTAGTCTGATACGACTTCCTACTTACGTGAAGGACCTGAAGTCATTTATGAGTATGACCTTTCTATCCTTATCTTCTGTGTCCTTAGTTAAAAGTCAAAGAATTTATATGTTTTGACCAGTTCCTGGTGGTATATGTTTGTCACTGAGGTCTTTGATACTGAACCAGCTAGTTTGCTACTATAATTGAAACAAAAAATATTTGAGGCTCTTTTGATGTGCTGCTTCTTTAGAAGGATACTTGGATGAAGCCAACATGAAGCTTTACTAGAGAACAAGGACGATAATGAGTCGGATGACGACGATGGAGACGATCAGGGCGATGATGGAGGCGAAGATGACCTCTTCGGAGAGGAGGATGACAATGAAGGAGATGAAGAGGATGATCCCGAGGCCAACAATGATGAAAGAGGACGAGGAACCTAAAGAGGAGGAGCTCCCACAGCCACCAACCAAGAAGAGGAAGTGAGGCAGTGGTTGTTGCATCCAGTCCTTGGGATTTGTTTCATTTTGGCTCGTGCTGGTTTAGACAGTAGCATTATGGAGTGAGTCCTCATAGATTAGATCGAGAGGGATGACTTCTCCTGTGTATATCATTTTGTGTGTTTTAATCTTTAGACATCATACGTCGGATATGTTGGAGCCTTCTCGCTTTTTTCAGTATTATACATAAATTCTAACCTGGAGGAGGCAAAGCACACTTCAAATTAAGACTATCTGAACAGCAGCCTGACATCTTTATGTTGGTGAGAGATTCTCCAAGTTTAAAATTGCTGCTATATGCAGATGGTGTTAATATTGCAATAGGATACTTCTGGTCAGATTGCATAGTGTCGTCGACAGCAATGAGCATCGGTTGAACAAAGTTGGAGAACTCTTCATAACCAGTGTTTGTTTATAAACAACAGAAGCAAGTCTTAATTAGTATATACAAAATTTGTATGTTACAACCTATAGATAGATCGTACAAACTGATACTGGTAATAACATAAAGACCTCGCTTTTTCTTAAATTCCACTTCCAATTGGTCAATTCTTCTTTGTAGCTTACAGCCTACATCAGGTATTCAGATCTTACTGATTTCTAAGTTCCAACTACCTTCGGAACAGGTAAGTTGCTTTAGAGAACAAGTATCGTTGAGATCTCCCCATTTGAATACATCCCTTGGGTTATCTGACCCGAGTGTGGTTCCACCCATTAATACAAAATCACACACCTTATTATTCGGAGAAGTTCTGTGGCTTGCTACTGGCAAATGTTAGCCATACGACGGTGCCCGTCAAATAGAAGAAGATGGATGGAGCAAATAATGATAACTACGGAAAGAACGATATTGTTAATTAGCCCAGATAGTACAGGGAGAATATACTATGACTAGGAAGAAGAAACGAACTTGACTCAGCTAACTTACGCTCCAAGAGTGGGTTGAATCAAGAAGATTTCCCGTAAGTGCTACACCAACAATTCCAGGTACCGCCCCAACTGTGTTTGTGATACCCTGTGTCCAGAAAAAAATGACTTGCTTATATGGTTTATAATCTTGCTCGGAATATTACGAAATATGGAGATTTATATTTGAATGAAGGTCCAAGGGAAAAGAGACAAAAGAACCAAAGAATGATGGAAGAGGGCAAAAAAATGAGCACCATAACTGCTTAGCGGAACCCAGAAAAGAGTTGGACAAGGATCTCTACCAATTATGGTGGAAAAAGATCCTTGTAGCACCCAAACAGATTATGGCTCGTTATGGTATGGTATTTCCTTTAATTATTTTTCTTCAATTTTAATCAGGATGTGGTGATGATATTTTGCATGTTGATGATTGAAGGATAAGAAAGGTGGTCTAGAAAATAGACAATCAATTATCAGTCAGAAATGATGGTGAAAATTCAACAAAGCAAACTAGGAAGCCATACCAAAAGTATACTTGCATACTTGGGAGAAATATCTTGATGGGTACAATAAAGTCCTGCACCAGCAGAAAGATGTGTGTGAAATTCATTTGAGTATATCTTGGAGCAGAAATATAAAGCTGCAAAATCCAAAAATGTACCAGACAAGGCAAAACTTGAAAGTGCCAAACCACCGGTAAGAATAGCTACAACTTCCCAAGGTGGTAATCCTAGATCCAAAGAGGAAAGTGTCATGCAAATTGCAGGAGACATAAAGGCAATCGTTTGGCAAATTTTTCGCACCTACATGTTAAAAATGAATTATCAGAATTTTGTAGATTTGGAAGAAACTGTCATTCAATATGATCAACTTCAGAATTGAATCACTAGTCATGTTAAGATCACCAAAGCAGAGAGTTTAAAACTTGAGACGATTAATCTTCAGTTTGCTGAAAGCTATGTCTGACTTCATGTTAAAATTGGCTCTATATAACCAGCTGGCAGATATGTATGACATCTGATGTTTCATCTATTGATTGAATTATTGTAATATATGAGAAAATTACCACATTCAAGATTTTGAAAGGATGAGTACAGATAAAAAAAATTAAGGAATAATAATTCCATATGATGACACATCGAGAGATATAAATTGTAAGAAAAAGAGAACTCTAAAATAGGTAAATATTGGACTAGAGAAAAAGGTCAAATTTCAAACAAGTGATAATGACATGGATGCTTTCTGTATATAAAAGCCCAAAGCACATGGGATATGCACGTTTACCCTTGTAGTCTCAACTCCATTAGAGATTAAGTTGTCAGCGAGAGGTGCTGCCAAGGAGGTAATAAGAATTGAACCCAAAGAAGGGAGGATTGAAACCTGTAGAAGACAAGTGTTATCATCTATTATATAATCTACACTATCATCCAAGCTCAGGTAAAAGTTGGTGCCATCCAACCAATGAACTAGAGCTACTGTATCATGAAAATATGGAAAAAGGAGAAATCCTGATACATAATGATGCTTGTCAAATAGCAAAAAATTGTAATATGGGCTTTGTGCAAATACAATGAGACAAAAAATCAAAAATATGTGTGGATCCAGATAAAGTCATAAGTTCACCATTTGCCAATTATCAGACAAAAGCAAGAGTTCAGAATCCCAAAAATATTCCACAAATTGATAAATCATTGAAAAACAAGAGTTTTTTGAGAAATTAATATTGGTTCCCCTTAATATGGCAAAATTGTGAAATTTCTTCCCAACATATGAAAGCGTTTTGTGTGGAATATTTGCATGTTAAATGCATGAACCTAACCTGTTCCACATTGTTTCCTAGCAAACTACATATCTATCACAATAAAAAAATCTAGATATTAGTTTCAATCCCATTGATCTCTCAGAATCCTGTCATGTGGGGCACACACAACATGTAGATTTGACCTGCCTTATAGGCTTCATATAGCAGGGTTGTGAGTGCCATGGAGGAAAAAAGTTTCTGGGATGGAACTCTTTGACCCTTTTATCTTAATTCTCAAGTTATATCAGTAGCACATCTCTTAGTCCCATTTAATGCTTGTATTTCAATAAGCCAAGACAATCAAACAAACAGGTAGTTACGCGCACCTTGCATGTGCTAATTCACATGCATCACTGATGTTATTTATTAGTGTAACACTACAATTGCTTCATTCCACAGAAGCTATTAAAATTAACTAATGTTATAAAGTGCCAATTTCTTTGTGATTTATCAAAATCAAGGGAAATATGTTCTATTAATTAAATGACTGAAAATGTTTGTCCACGTCCTACTTTGTGTAAATATTCATACATTCATGTATGTCATTATACACGATGTAGAGAAAAATAATTTATATAGAAAGTAATTATTTTCATATAGTAGCAAAAAAAAGGGTTAAATGACAAGTATAACAGTTAAAATTAAACTCAAGTATAACAGTCTGAATGCATTATGAAACAGAAATTACTGTATCATAAAGACATCAAGTTTCTTGCAGTAGTCTAATCACAGCCAAAAACCAGGGACACTATTATCTGTACTAACAGTTGAGAAGTCTTACATGTAAATAAGATATTGCAGCCTACAAATTCCTAAGTGTTTTAATCTACAATAGCCAATTAATCGTCACTTCGTCATCTTCATAGGGTCACCATCAGTTTAGATTGCATAAGAGAAATAGGATGACCGATACCATATCGGTATAATCCAGAATAAAGAAAAGTAACATTAGTGATTCATCAATTTATCTTAGCCATTGTTAACTTCAATATACCCTAATATTCAATATGTACTAAGATATGTTTCCCATCTGAATCCCCAGGAAGAAATTAAATGAAACAAAATGATTAAATATTTACCCATGCAGCTTCTGTCAAATTTAAGTCCAGCTCCTCACTGTATCAAGTGAAACTGAAAAAATTAGTAAACACAGAGAGCATGCCCAGAGAACTATATATCTACGAAGAAAAAAATTTACAAGAATGTAGCATCCAAGTAAGAATTCTGATTTAATGCACCATAGTCTTTGAGGCATTAGCATACGTAATGTATTGATGGCTTTAGAATGTTGCGTGAACTAAATTCAATACTTGCTCTTTAATAAACCTGATACTAGCTTTCTAATTCTGTGGAATTGTTCAATTATCATCACCAATTTTTTCTCTTTTTTATATATTCATCATCATTCAAAGTGGCAATTTATATCATCACCTAAGTCATTTTACCCTGAAGCAACGAGGTCTTTGACAAGGCTGTATTTCCAAGCTAACCACCAAGTTCCAATTTTAATATAAATTACAATGGAGAAAATAGGGATAGAACATGATGCATACAGCAAATGGAAAGATATAACTATGTGCATTCTTGAATTATTCAAATTGACGAAGATTCTTTACTCAATATTGTTTTCACATGTGAATCCTATAAGAAGGTTGATATGATCAAAATGTTTGGATGCAATTTCTAAAAATCTAAATGCGCAATGGCCTGAATGTTAAATATTAGAGCATGGTATAGAAAAAAGATATCAGTACATAGAGGTGAGATGTAAAAATAGTATGTTGAGGAAAGATGTAAACGGAGTAATTGGGAAGCAGTCAATTTCTAATAGGAAAACCAAGATGCACAAATCTGCTTGAAATAATTGATAAAATTAGATATTTATAAGCTCATCAGTAATGGGTAATTAGAACAAACTAAAAATAAGTTTGCAACGGGGTTTTGCACAGCCAATGGGGTACCAAAACCATTTACAATGTACTTGTTGCAATTTTCTTTAGTTTTTTAAATCAAGGTTGATATACTGTCAGCACTTTACCCAAGTTCAGTTTGAAAAATGCATGAATAAAAGCTAACTGACTGTTTAAAAATTCTGTACTCCATCACCCACATAAAATACTAGAATCTGTGACTAGTTAAAATTTGAAATGGTCCTCCCTCCTCACTCTCCAACAATTCATTTAGGTTGGTTGGATAACATATGCATTGATCTAAATGTGCTTTATTTCGGCTGATAGTTAATGAATTTTGACACATCTAGACTCAGATATGCCCTGAATATGATATGAACTATTTTCATGTCACCATAACGATTTCAAAAGAGCTATAAACACATGAAGTTCAAGAAGAGCATAGGGTCATCAGTTGAAGATTACATAATAGACTTACATCCACGAATAAAATACAAGGTTAATGATGGTATTAAGTATTAACTATTAACTAACATCCTGACAAAGCTATCTAATATGCATATGTATGAAATCAGATCTAAAAAATAAAATAATGAAATACCTAAAGTAAGTTGGCAACCAGGATAGACAAGTATAGTGTCCCCAGCTTCCACAAAAATGAGCATATATCATTGCCCACACTGCCTCACTTTTGAAAAATGCCTTCCATGGTACATCCTGTTCATTACAAACAACAGCTTATACATCTTGACCCTTCAGCCAAATATCGATGTCATGATAAATTCAAAAATTCAAAAACTAAAAAGTTTAAAGCAATAGAAGAAAGGGAAAAAAAAACCTGCGACAACAAAAGAAAGGCAAAAAAGTGGACCAACTTATGTGTCTTGGCATATGAAAGTGAAACAATACCTTACACCTTCAAGTGATATTTACATATACAGTCATTTAATGACGTCAAGCATAGATGAAATCATGAAACTGAAGATTATTTGCAACTTACTATTTAATAATAAAAGGATCTTTTGTATTACAAGAAAATTAAGGTAGGTTGAGCATTTTTTTGTAAAATATACTCTTGAAGCGAACTATAATTTCAAGAGACTAAAACACTAGAAAGGTCCAACATTGAAGGCAAGCATCTAAACATATAGCATGCTATTTGGCATGTACTTCTTGCGTGACATATGATTTTTATATTTATGCTTTGTAACTAGTTGTTAACATAGTTTAATTATGTAATTTGGATACTCTTTTTTTGTGATTAATTTTACTCAAAGTAGTTATCAAAGTACAAATTCACCTTTCTAAAACAGAACTAAGTTCATTTTGAACAGACCAATGATATTGTCCACAAACAATGCTAAGAGGATGTGCATGGCTCATAAAGGCAAAAATCAAGCATGAGGTTGGCATCTGTAAACGCATGAAACTATACTTCTTCAAAAACAACTTGCTGGAAGAAGGGCCATACCTTAAGTGAATCACCCAATTCTTTGAAGGAATCATTCCATGAGTAATTTTCATAGGATGATGCCGAGAAAAAGTTACTGATACGGAACAGATTTTCACCAGAACCTAAAAAACATAATAATTCTTCTGTTAACTTATACAAAACCAAAGAGTTGTATTAATTGAAATAAAGAGCTGTAGAAGATGTAGTGACTTAAAAGGTTATGCACTTAAGCTGCTGAACAGGTCGATAATTAGCTAAACAATACTCAAGTCGCACATATGAACAGACCGCATGCCATGGGGGCAGGAGGGGGAGGAGAAGAGGAAGCAGAGGAGGAAGAAAATTACTGGGAGATCAGGCGGGCCTACAACAGCAAGTGGTTTGGTGGCACTGGATGAGGGGCTGAGAGTAGAATGGATAGTCTGCTAGAGGCAACAAGGGGGCTGGGGAACCATGAAGAGCAGATCGCAAGGCTGCTTCCCTTTTTAAGAAAAAAAAGAAAGAAAAGAACAGATCACCCGATAAGAGTGGTAAAAATCTCAGTTCATGCCCAAACCGGTAAATACTGGTCAATATGTACTAGTCCTGGTGAAACTGGTCCCCTTGAGTTCAATCAAGAATTGTCATTTCAAGGCATTGGTCACATGCCAATATCCATCTCGAACACAAAATGCCTTGCTGTACTGATCAGCATGCCTCTATTCCAACAATTGGTGACAGCTGGCACATGAGTTGCTACAAAAAATTGATTTTGTTGTTTAAAAGTCTATCTTGGAATTTCAAGGCATTGGTCGCATGCCAATATCCATCTCGAACACAAAATGCCTTGCTGTACCGATCATCATGCCTCTATTCCAACAGTTGGTGACAGCTGGCACATGAGTTGCTACAAAAAATTGATTTTTGTTGTTTAAAAGTCTATCTTGGAAAATGCAGCTCTAAAAGGTAAGTGAATGTAGTCAAAAGGAACTATACCTAATAAGGATTTAATTCTTGATCTAATACCAATTTTGATAAACATTCGAATTGTTATCGTACTACACAGGGTAATACCAAACTTTACCTACTGTGAACATTAGAAACATAATAAAAAAGTAAAAATCAAACAATACTGACCTATATGTCCCAATACATCTTCTTGGTCAAACAAGTAAATATTGTTACATGCCAACCCATATCTGAAACCCTGATTTCTAATCCACAAACAAGTGATAACAAAAAAACAACCAAATTTTCAATGTTGATCCTATAATTTAACAGATCTGTGAATAGTTTAACATTGTCAAGAATAATGAGATAAATGGATTAATATTTAAAAGTGATGCATTCATACATACATTATGAACATGTACTCAACTTGAAACAGCTGTGTAAGAAAAACAAACATACATTTGAATGAATAGATGTTAAAACTAAATATACAGAACCTAACACGAAAAAATTAGATAAACACTTACCAAAAATATCCTCATGACGAAATAATGATTGGCCATCTTTGATAAACTCAAATCCCAAGCACCTACATCGAGAAAGAAAATGAAATTAAGATCCAAAGCACTGTGCAATTCAATACTTTAAGAATCCTGATAGACTCAAAACCCTTGACAAAACATGGACTACATCAATTTTTTGCTTGAATCTAAACTACAAAGAGCAAAAATCATATGAAGTTTAGAAGGAAGAGAACTATAATTAACAACACTTTCAGTGAAGTTTTACTCACCAAAGAATCCCAAGTAAACCAAAAAAATAAAAGACAGACTCCCAACCAAAATTCTGGATTACTGGAGGAGCCAAGAGAAGCCTGCAAAGTTTAGATAAAGAGAAAAATTAATGTTTGAACAGTGGAACAAACCAATGACCTACTCCTATGGATGCAAATGAGATATTTAATAGAAGTGGTAACAGAGATTAAAAAGATGGTGAATCACAAATGCAAGCAAAAGTCATGTAACTAATACATGAAATTAATTTACTCACTTTTGTCTTTTAGTGTGCAAAATGTCTACTAGAGATAAAATCAGTTTCCAATACAATTCTTTACCTGCCTTTAAGTTGCACATTTTCAAAAACTAACTAAGTGAGCAGTTTTTCTATCCATCAACTGTCCATAGTTGATGGCAATTGTGATATTTAATATTTATTAAGGACAGTATTATAAGATATGGTCTATGCAGCAATGATTATGCCACATATGCACATGAGGTCATACAACTGCTCCGCATAAGATTGTGTGGCCATGTTATATGTGGTCCATGTAACATTCTATATTTATAGAAAGTGCTGAACTACCAAGTTCAGAGACATACCCCAGAATGCTTCCGACACTCAGACCACCAAAAACAACTGCAACAGCTCTTGACCGCTCTTGCAATGGAATAGACCTGTATAAGTCCAAAGTTTGATTTATATGAACTTACTGAAAAATGGGAATGAAAGCATATCAGAAGATGTGCAATGGTATACATATAAAGAAAAACTTACAAGCAGATAAGAAAACATTCTTATGGAAAATTGCAGCAATCTAATCTAATTAAGTTCCATCATTGGGAACAGAATGAAATTGTTATCAACTTCATAAGACAACAAACCAACAGAATGTTAAATAATTTTTAAATCATCCGAAAAATGCCACAATGCATCTGCCTCTTATTTAAATTCTAAGGTGCATAAAAGTATACAAGTTTTTCTGTGGTATGGTGGATAGAAAATCTAAGTCCATACTATTAGAATCAACGGTGTGCCATTTAAATAAAAACCATCCCCCTCCTTTCTTTTATGGACATAGTTGGAGGTCCTTTCACAAGGAATATTTATTATCCATGTTGCCTTCTGTGAGATCTGAAAACATGATTTTCTTGCATTATGCATTTGCCAAATGAGCATGTGAGATATTTTGGCTAAAGGCTGACAATCATCATTATGGGATTATTCATTGCACATGGAGCATTTAAAAATGTGCTGCACGCGTCAGGTCATGCCATGTATTAGCACAAGCATTACAGATGGTATATAGTCGCCCATATAGTGGCATCACCCATGCAACATGCCAGTTTGTCACCAGTTTTATGCTAGTGTGGTGCCCACAAAATATTTATCACATCAAAGTCAGCACCTAAATATCTGTCTGAGACCTTTAAAGATTAAATGTTTATGCTAAATTCAGAAAACAGGCCTATTTTTCTCAAAAACCTTGCCTGGCAATTAGGTCGGTCGCAGCAGACGGAGAAACACCTTCTCCAACTCCAACCTGAATAATGAGAAACAAGCATCTGCTCACTATTCAGTAAAGAATTGCACAGTGATATGAATTAGTTACACATGAAGCCAACTGAAAATTCATGAAAATTGAATGAAACATAGACAATATTCCATTCACATCAACAGAATGCCTTATCCAGATGTTGCATAATGATGAGCAACTTAAAATTAAGAAGTTAAAAGGATTAAATATGACACAGTTAGATAGTGAAACACAGAATTCCACTTTACAAACCAGCAGTGTATAAACAAGAAAAGACTTTGTAGCACTAAAAGTAAAGTTACACATAACCAGGTCACTTCAGCACCTACTATACATCTAATAATATTTATATAAAGACCAATAGTCTAGAAGATTAATTAAAAAAAACTTGATCAAGGTTTGGGGTTTTGGTATGTCATCGGCATGATATGATTTGGAATTGTATCAAACAAAAATTGTCAAGAATTGGCAGAATAAAATCCAAAACTGACATGGAAGTCTCAGCATGGCTTGGCATGACTAGAACTTGAAATCTTGGTTTTGATCAATGTTTTCATGCACTGTTGTATATCGTGTTAGTACCATGAACATGCAAGATCTTCTCATGTCACATGTTTGGTAAACTAAAGTAATTTAGTCAGTTGGATCGAGACCCAAATCATATAAAAAGGATTATAACTTAACCTCTCTCCCCTACATATACATATATACAACTATGTTTGCATATGTCCATAAACACATGCTGTTCCATCCATATGGCACAGACTAACAAAAATCTTACCTGATAAACAAAAAGATGGAAGTTAAAAGAAGGCTCTTAGATGTTGCAGAGACAACCTAATATCTAATGTAAACCAACTTGAAGAATCAAATGTGATATACTGCATAGAATAACAACATTTTATAAAATCATACTCAGTAATCTTTCAAGAAGAACAAACTGTGTGTGCTTGTGCCCAATGCTCAGGATAGTGCAATGTGTTCATGATACTCTTGATGCCAACAGTGCAAGTACCAATGCACAAAACTAATGTAACTAACATGCATAAGAAGATGCAGGGAAAAAGTGAAGAGCATTATGCACACAAGAAAACTTAGAACAGATGAAGCCAAAAAAATGGCAGTTCTATATCCATTGATGTTAGTAACTGAGGAGCAACATCCCTCATAACAACAAAAAGTCAAGTTGCATGGTTCATGTCAGGAAGTTACTGCTTAGAGTCCACATAAAATGAATTTGTATATCCCAGGTATGAATTTCCATATGAAATACTAACATGCCTAGTGAAAGAATCAATTAAGACATCTATACTAAAAAGATCCTTTTTTTAATATATTCATTATCACTAATTAGATGTTCAAAATTTTCAGTTGTGTTTTATATGGACCAAACCATGTGAAGCATTCACTTCACACATAACCGACAAAGTAGGGGACAATGCCTGTCAGTGAAGTCACGGGGCCCTCAGGTGCTTGCCTAGGCGCCCAGGCGAGGCGAGGCCCAAGCACTCGGTAAGTGGGCCGACGGGCGACTTCAATGAGGGCCCAAGGGTTGGGCGGGCCAAGCACCCGCCTGATTTAAATTTAGTTGGGTCGAGTGAATTGTGAATTATTCTAATTCGATTAAACTAGATGAAACACTGTCAACACACACCGACCCTACGCATCTGAACGCAAACCCACCTCCCCATTCCCCCCCCCCCCCCCCTCCTCTCCAAAACCAAAACCCACCCTTGCATAGTGCCATAGCAGGCCTTCTTCTCCAATGACTATAGCATTTTCCTTGGTGAATAGTAACTGTCTTCCTCTCCATTGGTGAACGATGACGACAACATCTTCCTCTGATAGGCTCTTCCTCTTCCTC